TATATATATATATCACTTCCTTCCTCAGAATATCCAAACCGTTTAAAATGAAAAGCTAACACATGGTTGACGCTAAACAAAGAGTCATTTGTTTTTTACAGTGTAATAATATTACAGACATCAAACTAAAGATAAATACAGAGGTTTATAGTAACTGAGTGCATTTACTTTGTTACTGTACTTAAGTAGTTGTTTTTGAGGATTTGTAATTTTATCAGCTATTTTTTAAACAGCTACTTTTACTTTTACTTAGTTACATTTTAAAGCTAAAATAAAACTTTTACTTCTTTACTTTAAAATGTAACACTTAGTTACTTGTTACAAAACTAAATATTTTTGAACTCATCATGAAAGATGTTTCTGCTCTAAAAAATGAAGAGTTGATTTTACTCAAAGTCATGTCAGCTGGCTCCACYAAGCCMAGTTGAGTAAACTGAGTAAATAATAAACATGTATTGTTCAGTTTACTCAGCCTGTCTTAGTGGAACCAGTTTGGTTCAGTAAATTCAACAGTTTGTTTCTTAGAGAGTGTGTAAAAGTACTTTTACTTTCCTGATTTTTGTGAACAGTTTTATGACTTTTACTTAAGTAGTTTTCTCATCAGTGAAATGTATTTTTACCAGTTATTTTCTGTTCATGTAATTTTACATTTACTTAGTAATATTTTTTCAAGTACTTTATAGACCTCTGTTGACAAATATTTCCACAAGCCATCGATCGTAAATGTATAATTAACACTAAATAATGGGACTAATTTCTTGTTTACAGCATGGTAACAACAGCAAAAGAGCCATTTATGTTAATATGTTTGAGTAACAAAGCAGCTTAATTAAATAAAACTTAACACAACAAAATGAAACTTGTACAGGTAGCACATATCGATAAGAACTGCTGAGTCAGCAACATATGACGTAACATCGGTCTGTGCATTGCCACAAAGTAGGTCGGACTGATGGGTAGCACAGACCGTCAGAACCCGGGCTCAGTCTCAGYGACCAGGTCTGGAGCTCAGAGCAGAGCTGCTCCTCTGGATCTAAAGGAGTCGGCTCAGGAGGTCCATCTGATCAGGACTGGGTTCTCTTGCTCCTGGACCTGACCCTGAATAAAACAAATCTGTTTTTCTTTACAATCATCTTCATCGTATGAAAARGACGATCTGTGGTTTCAGCAGCTTCAGAACTCCAGCCAGGTCCCAGACTCTGCCTCTTCTCAACAAAGATGACTTTTAAACAGTTTGTAGCTTTCAGTCGTCCTGCAGCCTCTTTTCTCTGACCGTCTGCAGGACAAAACACAACAAACCCAAAACGGTTTCCTCCCGTCTTTTTACCTTTTCACTCTGTAAATCCCCTTCACGGGTTGCGGGGGTAACGAGGGAAGAGGCTGTCCCTGATCGGACTTTCTAAATTAACACAGCCGTGTCTCTGTGTGGGTGAGTTTGGGCCGGTCTCCCATGGTGACTGGACAGTGGTCGGGTCATTGATATGCTGAGGAGCAGCTCTGCAGACAGAAAGTCCTCCAGAAAGAACAGGAGGATTTATACCATTTATACCAACAGAACTATATAAATATAGAGTCCAAATGATCCGTTTAGTGATTTAAAGATTTTATTTAGCTTATTGAGCTCACTGCACAGTCTGACCTTCAGGGGGAAAACGGTCGGTGGACTCTAAATGACCTTTGACCCTTCACACATTGGCTCTTCTCTGAGGTCATTAGTGATGTTTTTACACCTTTTCTCTAGGTGGAGGTGGTCCCTGCTGATCCTGAACCAGATCTCAGTTTCTGTTCAATAAATGAGGAGACGGTGTAAAATGTTTCAGCTCAGATTTATTTCAAACCTTCGTGTCGAACAAACAATGTTTTGATGAGTGAAACCKCAGAACTGAAGATAAATCTAAAAATACGTCTTATTTTAAAGTCTTTAACGATTTAAACTTAAACGTTTAGTCAGCCTGAGTCCTGGGTTCGGCTGCAGAGACACAATCAGCTCTGACTCGTCTCGTAACGACACTAAATCTTACACAACGTCACATTTCAACACATCATCCTGTCTCCATCATCAACATGTTCAACATCTATCATCAAAACGAGCTCCGAGCTTCAGTTTAATCATGTGCTCTACGTGTTGAGAGTCTGAGTGAAGGCAGAGTTAAATCAATCGAACACTTTAAACTACGACACAGTTTGACTTCCTGCTCTCAGAAACCAGCTCAGCGCTGACAGACACGCTCTGCCCGCCCTCATCTTCATCACGTCAGGGTTTACACACAGGTTAGTAGCTTCATTAGGAACCACACATGRAACAGGTCAACACATGGACTGTAGGGCTCAACCTGCAGGACTGCATCTGGAGTTTGTGTTCAGGTTTTAGGCCTGGACTGTGCTGCAGTTCAGAGAATCTCCACCAGGAACAGACTTCACCAGGGATGCACCGATATGAAAACTTCAGCCGATATCAATATCCGATATAATTATCGCTGTTATGGCCGACAACTGATATTTACCGATAGTACACAAACACAAATTACATTATACATAAACACACTTGGGTCTTTTTATTATACTGTAAACAAACAACCAAACCTCTGACATGGTACTTCATGGTACTTCAGTTATTCCTGGTTACGCAGCATCAGTATCACTATCATGATCAAACAGATGCCGCTCAACCAACCATCTCCCCTCCCAAAACAGAAACACAAAACTGAAAAGTGGGAAATCAATATCGGACGTTAATATCGGCCCAGTTTTACTTATCGGACCGATGCCGATATTCTAAAAAATGACCAATATCAGCCGATACRGATATTAATACCAATATATCGTGCATCCCTAGACGTCACTCTTAAGGTCCCATCACACAATAACATTTTATACAACTTATGCCGACTTATGAAAAACACTGTTCCACTATAATATTAACAAAAGTTAGATATTTGATAAATTTGTTAGCATTACAGTGTAAGAAAATACGTGTTTAATATCAGCTGAAGTCAGATGAAAACACCAGTGTTAAATAAAATGATCTGTGATAAGAAATAATGTCATAAAACACCAGAATTCTGGGGTGGGGGTTTATTTTGCCACTGGCTGGCAAGTCAAAACCACACACACTGGGAGAAAAACAGGAAATGGACCAGTATATATACAGAATCTTCAATGCCTGAGTTCGCCCCCTGCTGACCTATGGCTGAATCACTGGCATTCAGACAACAACCTTAATCTAATGGTTTAAAAACAGTTCACTTGTGTGTTGTTATTGATTCGGACATGTATCTACCTAATTTAATTAACACATAATATAACAAACATTATAAAAGTATTATAAAATAAGGAAACCCTAATACTCTGGTGTTGTTTATAATCAGTACTGAGCTATAATAACTATAAATTTCTTCAACAGTATATATACACCGAAAAGAAGCTTCCAGCTGAGTTTTAAAAATTCCATCTTCAAAGTAGACATCTCCAAACTTTTCATGAGTTGATATAAGTTGACTAAAACATCATGGTGACGGGGCCTTCAGAACCTTTGCAGTAAAGAAGTTCTGGTCCAGCTCTTCTCCATGGTCTGCAGCCTTTCTGGGTTCTCCCTGACCATCTGCGGGTTTCCACCATCAAACTGGTTCAGATGTTCGGGAACAACCCAGGAGGACTCAAGAATCTGCCCGACAACCAGGGTTAAGGTTAGTCTTTATATTTAAAACTATACATAACTTAAATGTTTAAAACTCTCAGAACAACTCTCACATTAAACTCTTCTCAGACCTTCAACCTCCTCTGATTTAATCATTTATAGAAACTAATCATCTAATTTAGCTTAATTTACTTTTTGTAAGAACAAATACACATCACAGCTTCGGTCTATAGAGTGGAAGAGTCCCATCAGAGTCCTGGAAACCGGTTCCTGCTGTCAGAACAGACATCTGAGCAGGTGGAGACAGAAAGATAAATGAAAATGACTTCATGTAGAGAGGAGCAGGTGAGAAAGGAGGAAGWGATCGGAGGAGAAGAAACGTTCTGTTAACAGAAACATGAGTTAAAGAGAAAACTGGAACGGATGGACGAGGACGGACTGATGGACCAGGATGGACCGGTGACTCTAGCTAGAAATGGACAAGATGGCTGAAGTGTCTTTAGCCTTGTCAAAGAAGATGGACGTCTCATTAGCTGCCTTCAGCTTGATGTGGGCGGAGCCTGGGGAGCCTTGTGCTGTGATTGGTTGACACTCCTGACAGCAGCAGCAGCAGCAATCCATGAAGGCCTGACCCAGAGTCTGAAATGGAACCAGATAGTTTTGTTTTTTAAACTTCAATAAGAGGTAACAAACTGATGTTAACACCTCAGTTTCTACAGTTTAACTCGTGATTTAGTCCATTTTAACCCCAGACTTAGTCCTGTTTAACTCCTACTTAATCCTGTTTAAATTCAGACTTAGTCCTGCTTAACTCCCGACTTAGTCCTGTTTAAATCATGACTTAGTCCTGTTTAACTTCTGACTTAGTCCTATTTAACCCCTGACTTAGTCCTGTTTAACTCTTGACTTAGTCCTGTTTAACTCCTGACTTAATCATGTTTAACTCCTGACTTAGTCCTGCTTAACTCCTGACTTAGTCCTGTTTAACTCCTGACTTAGTCCTGTTTAAATCCTGACTTAGTCCTGTTTAACTTCTGACTTAGTCCTATTTAACCCCTGACTTAGTCCTGTTTAACTCTTGACTTAGTCATGTTTAACTCCTAACTTAATCGTGTTTAAATTCTGACTTAGTCCTGCTTAACTCCTGACTTAGTCCTGTTTAACTCTTGACTTAGTCCTATTTAACAACTGACTTAATCCTGATTAAATCCTGACTTAGTCCTGTTTAACTCTTGACTTAGTCCTATTTAACAACTGACTTAATCCTGATTAAATCCTGATTTAGTCCTGTTTAACCCCTGACTTAGTCCTGTTTAACTCTTGACTTAGTCATGTTTAACTCCTAACTTAATCGTGTTTAAATTCTGACTTAGTCCTGCTTAACTCCTGACTTAGTCCTGTTTAACTCTTGACTTAGTCCTGTTTAACAACTGATTTAGTCCTGTTTAAATCCTGACTTAGTCCTGTTTAACTTCTGACTTAGTCCTATTTAACCCCTGACTTAGTCCTGTTTAACTCTTGACTTAGTCATGTTTAACTCCTAACTTAATCGTGTTTAAATTCTGACTTAGTCCTGCTTAACTCCTGACTTAGTCCTGTTTAACTCTTGACTTAGTCCTATTTAACAACTGACTTAATCCTGATTAAATCCTGACTTAGTCCTGTTTAACTCTTGACTTAGTCCTATTTAACAACTGACTTAATCCTGATTAAATCCTGATTTAGTCCTGTTTAAATCCTGACTTAGTCCTGTTTATCCCGATTTAGTCCCATTTAATTCCTGACTTAGTCCCATGTAACTTCTGAATTAGTCCCAAGTAACTTCTGACTTAGTCCCATTTAACTCCTGACTTAGTGCAGTTTAACTGCAGACTTTGTTACATTTTAAAGCAGTTAAAGTAAATCCTAAAATCTTTTTGTTGTTGTTGTTGTTTGTTTTTGGTTTCTTGGACCTCCTGACCCACCTTACACAGAAACAGCAGCAGCACRGGCGTCACTGCACACTTAACAAACAGCAGGAAGTGATGTAGGAGCGCCATCATGGCGGTGATGTTCTCAGACAAGGTGAAGTGTGTGTAGGCCAGCGTGATGTTGCAGACGTGTTCAGGCAGAGCGCACACGCCATAAACCACCGCCAGCGCCAACAAGGTGCAGTTCAGCTGCCGCTCCACCGCCTGGTGCTGCTGGTGSTTCTGGCTGGCCGACAGGTCGTCATGGTTACGCTGCTTCTGGGCGGCGCTGGAGTCGCTGTTGACGTTGCGGCTGGCCATCTGGCAGAGGAGGGTGAAGAGGACCGGCAGGCAGAAGTAGCAGCCGAAACACCACCACATCCGACCCTGAAGAAGAGATCAGGATCCGGCTCAAGACGTCCACGTCTTCAGAACCACAAGCATCAACTTCACCTGACAGGAGGGCGGAGCCTGACTCACCTGGTGGTACCTGAGCAGCAGGGAGTGGAGCGAGTCGGGCAGGTAGAGGGACAGGGGGGAGGTCAGCGTGATGCTGCAGGAGTCCACCACCCCGCCGGTGGATGCAGACGGGCTCAGGCTGAACTGCCACAGGAAGATCTCCGGGCTGGAGAGCAGCAGYGCCGAGAGCCAAACCAGCAGCAGCTTGGTCAGCACCGAGTGGCAGCGCTCCACCTGCCGAGTCTTCGTCGGGGTGGAGGAGGTCGCCGCGTGGAAACGATCAATGCCCAGAGCGCACAAAGTGAAGGAGGTGATGCCGAGAGACACGACCTGCAGAGACGAGAGGGGCGGAGTTAGAGTGATGTCATCATGTCTGAAAGACCCGTGGAGGGATGAGAGGGGCGGAGTTAGAGTGATGTCAACATGTCTGAAAGACCTGTGGAGGGATGAGAGGGGCGGAGGTAGAACTCGTCAGAAAATATACAGGTGTGTTGCCATGGTTTCAATCTGAGAGGGGTCGAAGGTCCACCTTTCTACAGAGAGATTCTTCACCCTGAAGGTCAGACTGTGCAGTGAGCTCCATCTCAGATTCTACAAGCCTCAGCAGGTCAAAGGTCAAAGGTCAGGCATGGTTTCACCCGAAGGAGCCACAAGACTTCTGGATCAGAACCAGAGGACAGATGTTTTCCCAGAATGCACTGCAGCACGGACCTGGGGTCTGAGTGGAACAGGAAGTCTACTAAAGACCATAAGGTCTAGATCTGAGTCTACCTGTCTGACAGCTGAAGGTTGGACTAAACTGGGTCCAAAAAACCCTGATCCAGATCCCAGCAGCTGGCTTACAACAGAACGAGTCCAAAAGACAAACCACAGCTACAGGAGACCCTGCTGGGTCAGGACCTGGATTCTTTTATTCAGATCCATGATGACTCAGTTTAACTGTGTCAGTAAAACTTTTTTAACCTTCCTGTTCTGCTTTAAAACCACAGGGCAACATTTTACTGTCAGAACAGGAAGGAAATGTTTTTATTAGAGCTTCACCAAAGAGATGAGCAGAATTCTGTAAACCGTCCATCAGGTCTCGGGGGCAGCAGCAGAGACCCAGACTTCCCTCTCCCCAGCCACTTGGACCAGCTCCTCTGGGGGAATCCCAAGGTGTTCCCAGGCCAGCTGAGAAACATAGTCCCTCCAGTATGTCCTGGGTCTTCCTCTGGGTCTCCTCCCAGTGGGACGTGCCCGGAACACCTCACCAGGGAGGCGTCCAGGAGGCATCCTAACCAGATGCCCGAGCCACCTCAACTGGCTCCTCTGGACGTGGAGGAGCAGCGGCTCTACTCTGAGTCCCTCCTGGATGACTGAGCTTCTCAGCCTATCTCTAAGGGAGAGCCCAGACACCCTGCAGAGGAAACTCATTTCAGCTGCTTGGATCTGTGATCTCCTTCTTTCAGTCACTACCCAAAGCTCCTGACCATAGATGAGGGTAGGAACGTAGACCGACTGGTAAACCTTCACCACAACAGACCGGTACAACGCCCACATCACTGCAGACGCAGCACCAATCCACCTGTTGATCTCCAGCTCCATTCTTCCCTCATTCATGAACAAGACCCTGAGGTACTTAAACTCCTCCACTTGGGGCAGGACCTCCTCCCCGACCCAGAGAAAGGAACCCTACCCTTTTCTGGCTCAAGACCATGGTCTTGGACTTGGGGACACTGATCCTCATCCCGGCCGCTTCACACTCGGCTGTGAACCTCTCCAGTGAGAGCTGAAGATCAGGATCTGATGAAGCCAACAGGACCACATCATCCACAAAAAGCAGAGATGTGATCCTAAGGTCACCAAAAAGGATCCCCTCAACACCTCGGCTGCTCCTAGAAATTCTGTCCATTAAAGTTATGAACAGAATCAGTGACAAAGGGCAGCCTTGGTGGAGTCCAACTCTCACCAAAAACAAGTCCGACTTACTACCAGCAATGTGGACCAAGCTCTGGCACCGGTCCTACAGGGACCTAACAGCCTATATCAATGGGCCTGGTACCCCATTCTCCCAGAGGACKCCCCCCCCCCCCCCCACAGGAGTGCCCGAGAGATATGGTCAAACGCCTTCTCCAAGTCCACAAAACACATGTAGACTGATTGAACTCTCATGAACCCTCCAGGACCCTGCTGAGGGTGTAGAGCTGGTCCACTGTTCCACGACCAGGACCAAAACCACACTGCTCTTCCTGAATCCAAGATTCAGATGTTTTTGTTGTTTAGCTCTGATGAAGGGCTGTCCATCAGGCCACTAATGAGCCCCAATTACCGTAATTACAGAAAGTCCTGGTCTCAGCTAGTTAAGTGTTAAAAGTCCACAGAATCAGACCAAAGATCTATTGGGGGACTTCAGGGACCAGATAAGWCTGAGCTGGACTACAGACCAGCAGCAGAAGTCTGAGAGGGGGAACCAGCTGTGATTGGAGCTTCCATCTTGTCTCATGAGGTGAGGATGATGAGGATGAAACAGAGTTCAAGTCTGAGCTGAGGAGGACCTTCTGATCTGAAAGCAGTGAGATACCACTGGTTCCACATGGTRCCACTGCTGAGGAAGACCCGGGTACAGGTCCAGTATTTAAATAAGCCATACCCAGCTGTGTGGGGTCAGTTTGATCCTCCAGGTCTGGAAACAGAAAATCTGAAGGTTGAACACCTGTTACGATGGGCCCCCTGCTCCCACACAGAAACCTGAAACTGGGTCAGAGACCCTGAACAAGACACCGAGACAAAACCCGATCTGAAAACCTGACTGAAGGTCCAGGATCAGCAGAGACCAGTTTTTATTTCATCAGGCTGCAGCAGACCCTTACCTCCATGTACGGCACCATGCGGCAGGTGATGTCACCCAGGATCCTCCTATGAGAGAGGTGGTTGAGGACCACCACTGGGAGGCAGACCACCAGGACCAGGAAGTCCCAGAAGGCCATGCTGGCCAGCAGGTAGTTCCACGCAGACCTCATGTAGTAGTTGTTCCAAACGATGCACATGACCGCCATGTTGCCCACCACGCCCACTGCCAGCACCAGGCAGGCCAGGACCAGAACTGCGTAGGCCACGTAGGAGGTCTCCACCAGCGGGTAGAAGGGATTAAAGAGTCTCGGAGCCTCATCGGGCCTGGAGGAGTTCCTCTGGGTCTGGTCTTTGGGGCTGCTGGTCTCAGGTTCCACTCTGGTCGTGTTGCTGAACTCGGTGACCTGAGGCGCCGTCACCCACTCGTTCTCAAAGGAGTGACCGAAGGTGGACTGCTGCTCGTCCTCGTCGGCACCGCGGGCCAGGCGTTGGTGCTGGTCCAGGTCCAGATCCACCATCTCAGGAAGAGGGGGGCTCTTCTTGTAGGGGTCATCTGGAGTCTTGAGCTGCTCCTCGGTCCAAACAGGCTCTGGTTTGACCCCAGAGGAGGATCTGTCAACGTTGCTCTGCTGCTTCTCAGGTTGCCCAACATTGTTTGCATCGACAATCAGCAACGAGAGGCAGAGGGGCAACAAGAAGGCAACGGACCGAGCCATGACGCAGACGCTCCCTGTCAGCCTGACACAGAACCTTTCACTTCTACCTCTTTATGTGGAGGGAAGAGTTTAAAACAAATCAGTGAAACTCCTGCAGAATCCCCAAAAGTTCAGAACCATCAAAATGTTCTGAGTCTCCAAAAACTGATGGAAGAAAGAAAAACCAGAAACTGGTGATGACTTCAGACACGTTCTCCAAAGAAAGAACTTCCTCCAGTTTCTGAAACRTTTTCTCTCTTTCAGCTCTGGCCTCTGGGTTCCTCATCCATCAGTAATCCACACAGAGCTCCAGCACAGGAGGAGGACCTGATGAGGGTCCGAGTCCGGCTGCTGGCTTCAGGGAGACTGGACTCTGCAGCTCTGAGGGTCTCTGGGAACCAGCAGCCCTCTGCTGCATGGCTGGATGGAGCTTTTGTCAGGAAAACACACGAGAATACAAACAAGGCTGGCGCTCACACAAGTCCTCACATTTGTCTGCAGAATCACGCATGAATACTTCTCTCTGTCAGCGCATTGACTCAGTGCTGCTGCCCCCTGCTGGTGTCTGTGGGAACAACCAGGGAACAGAGACTGCTTTTTAACTAGTTTTAACTAAAAAAGATTCTAAATTTCAGAGGTTTAGAATCGTAGAATTTAACTTTATGTTTGAAATGTTTATTTATTCAAGTTGTTGATAAATCAATTACAAACAGTAAAAGAGCAAGTAATTAATTAATTAATTAAAACTCGTTTTTCTTTTCAGCAGGTCAACATCAAAACTGGACACCTTCAGAATTTAAATTTTAGAAAAGTAGAAACTATTTATTTTTATTATTAACTTTATTCATTTCATTAAGAAAACAAAAACAAAACACATTTACATACAACAAAACAATACAAATCAAATAAAAGGTA